CGAGCAAAAAAATGTTAAAAGTTTGAATTCGCGCGCTTTTACTCACCGGGCGGCCTAGAAAAAACCTCGTCCCTAAGGGCTTTCATCGTATTTTTCGATGTGTATTTCTCGATGAAGGAATTTTTTTTGAATTTTTTCTTTATTTTTATGTCAATCTACATGCATTTCTGCACATTTTGATGCAATACAAAATTTCACCGTACACCACCTTTAAGCTCAAAAATCCAAGGTCCCACCTTTTTTCAGGGGGATTTGTGGTGTCGAAAAAGTTGGTCCCTGATGGTGATGCTCAGATGGACGAGAGCGTTACTGGGGCGGTAATATCACAGGGACCGTCTTCATCTACCGTAGCTGACCAGGCACCGAATAATGAAACTGCTGGATCCAGCTGTCGAAGCAAATTGGAACAGAGCGGTTAGTGTGCGTAGTTGGCTGTCATTTTTGAGCCAGTTTATCTCTATTCCTGTAAAAGATATAAAAAACTGTCAACAAATAAAACGTTGGTGATATTATGATAAACATTTTGTTAGTGGACCAATTTTTGATATTACTTACAGGAACCGAGATAATTGAGTTCAAACATTCTATGATTTTTTTATTTCCTTTAAAACTTTGAAAATCAAAAAAAAAAGTTCCAGAATCAAGTGTCCCTCCTCCAGATGAAACCAATGACTCCACGATTAACATGACGTCGATCTCTGCTGAGAACGTGCCAGGCGCTTCTGGAACCATTAGAGAATCTCCTCTGCTCCATAAGATCCTAACGGACCCATCACCCAGTAAGTGGATTTTCATGTATCTCGGTTCCTCTAAAAGATATCATAAAGTAGTCAACTGATAAAACATTACAGATATTATGATAAATATTTTATCAGTTGACCACTTTTCAAGGTTTCTCATAGGAACCAAGATATATGTCCTTTTTTAGGACATATTGTTTTTAAGAATTTGATTACCCTTTTTTTGGAACTATCAACTTTGAGCTCAATTATTTCGATTTCTTTAGGAAATATCAGAAGTTGGTACACTGGTAAAACCTTTTTTATAATATGATTCGCATTTTATCAGTTGACCACTTTTTGATATCTCTCATAGAAACCGAGATGATTGAGCTCAAAGTTAACGTATTCTGTAGGCTTTTGTTAGAGCGAGTACAGTAATCCTAATTTTCTTTTTCCATCTCCTTCTACACCAAAATCCATGACTCCAGAAGTTCAGTGTAATGGAGTTCAAGGTCAGGCTCAGCATTCAGCTCTGCCAGCAGTTCCGCCAGCGGATGTCACGTCTTCACCTGGTCCAGCTGGCTCAAGTGAGCCAGCTGATCTTGCCCCTCCTCCAGCTCCAAGCGATGTGAAACATACTTCATCCGCTCTAATTGATGGTAAGGAACTAGTGCTAGCAGAGCGCACTTGATTTTTGTCTATTTTTTTGTAATTTTCAAAAATTTGTGCAGTAGAGCGCGTTATAAAAATACCTATCAAAGTTAGAGCATTTTCAGACCACCCACTTGACCGAGACGCAGCGAACGCTCTGATAGAGTTGAGTGGTGAGTAGGCCTTGTTCAACTTTAAGCACAATTATCTCACTTCTTTTGAAAGATATCAAAAAGTGGTCAACTGATAAAATGTTAACCATGATATCACTAACATTCTATCAGCTGTCAAAATCTTGATAGCTTTTATGGAAGTCGAGATAATTGAGCTTGTTTGGGCTTCTATTAGAGCATATACCGAATATTAAATTTGAGCTTAATTATCTCAGTTCCCATAAAAGATATCAAAAAGTAGTCAACTGATAAAATGTTTATCATTTTTTCAGCTACATTTTATCAGTTGTCAGAGACCAAGACGCCCAAAAAAGGAAAAGGAAGGCCCAGTCGGAAAACACCACTTCCAGTGGATGGGGATGGTATTGGTTCGAAAAGACCAAAAAGAAATTGTGAGTACGTCAGAATTGACGACAAACTGCACAGATTTTTTGAATTTTTGATGTAATACTTCAGAATTGACGACAAAACGCACAGGTTTATCGAATTTTTGATGTATAACGTCAGAGTTGACGACAAAATGCACAGATTTTCGAATTTTTGGGTAACACGCCAGAATTGACGACAAAATGCACAGTTTTTTGAATTTTTGATGTAATACGTCAGAATTGACGACAAAATGCACAGATTTATCGAATTTTCGGGTGAACCGCCAGAATTTCCGACAAAATGTACAGATTTTTTGAATTTTCGGGTGAAACGCCAGAATTGACGACAAAATGCAGATTTTTGAATTTTTGGAGTAATACGTCAGAATTGACGACAAAATGCACAGATTTTTTGAATTTTTTTTCAAAATTTTGATGTTTTTTTACAGAAAAAATCAACGCCAAATCAGCTTCGATTTTCGGGATTTTTGGCTCCAATTTTCGGCTTTTTCTGAACTTATTGATTTTTTTATAGATTCCTTCTCCGGGATTTTCTGTCTTTCTTGTCTTTTTTAGATCAATTTTGTTCCACGAATTTCGGAATTTTTCATTTTTAAGCTTATTTTTTCCCATGTCTTTCTCTAAATAATAGTTCAAAAATCTCAAATTTTCCGCTTTTTTTCGTTAAATTTTGTTATTTTTACTATTTTTAGCTTTCCAATATCTTTCGGAAATTTGAAAATTTCCTAAAAAACGTCTGAAAATCGCTCGTTTCAGCCAAAAATTGCAAAATTGGCTTTAAAACTATTTCGAAATTCCAAATTCCACGGTGAGTTTTTACTATATATTCTTCATAAAATTTACTAAAAATTTATGGAACAGAAAAAAAAGTTATGGACTAGAATTCGAGAAAAAAATTCCAAAGTTGAAGCAGCGGTAGTGAAAATTCACCGTGAAATTAGCGCTTCTCGTTCAGTGGAGCGCGTTTCCTCCCTTCTGCGTCTCCACATTTCACACACTCTCTAAGCTCGGTCGGCGGGCAACAAATCCATTTTTTTCGCTGTTTTTCAGCTGAAAATTCGCTAAAAATGCTATTTTTCGATGTTTTTCTCCAGAATCACAACCAAATTTATTGATTTTTCTGCTTATGCTACCAATCAAAAAATATAACAGGATATGGGTTGAAGAAGGGGTACGGGACAGAAAAAAAAACGGAAAAAATGACACGGAGACAGAAAAACAAGACGCACCAGTCCATATAAATATAGCAATTTTTGGGAGATGGGGGGATCTATAAAAGAGGGGCGGGGCTTAATAAACTAACAAAGAAAAACGTCAAAGATGCGATAGAAAAGAGGGGGAAACGGGGGAAAAAGGGGCGGGGCTTAAATAATAAATTACTAGAAACTTCCGGAACAAAAAATTATGAAAAATGAGACAAGATATTTGATTTTTTTGGGAAAAAAAGGTGAACAGAAAAATGGAGAAAAATCGATTTTTAGCCTAATTTCCAGATGGTGGTGGTCCCTGCTTGCCTCCCTGCCAATAATTGTTCCATTGCTGCATTAGCTGCGGATTGTTATAGTATTGGGCGTAGTATTGCCAATATTGGCTGTTGCCTCCAGCTGGTGGTGGTCCTCCTGGCGGTGGTGGTGGTCCATTGAACGGCGGAAAAGGGGCAGAGCCTCCTCCTGAGCCACCACCGGACGGTCCGTCGCCACGACCGTAACCGTATCCATAGCTCGAGCGAGAGTTGCCACCGCCTTCGTTCGATTTGCTAGCGCTGGACTAAAAATTCGTAAAATTGAATTTGAAGCGATCGACCACCAACCAAGCTGACCGACCGACCGCTGATCAAAGCCGACCGACCGTCGATCAAAGCTTATCGACCGCCGACTAAGCTGACCGCCAGCCAATAGGGCCGACCGCCGACTAAGCTAACCGACCGCCAGCCAATCTGACCGACCGCCTACTAGGCTAACTGACCGCCGACCAAACTAATCGACGGGCGACCAAGAATTCGGTCGGCGGTCGGTCGGCGGTCGAAAATTTTAAAGCCATTTTTTCGAATTTTTTCGGTTTTAAGGCTCCTTTTCAAGGCTTTCTAGCTTAAAATAAGCCATTTTCTGGCTAAAATGACCAATTTTAAAGCATTTTTCGGCCTAAAAAAACGCCAAAAAGAAGTTCCTACCTCTCCACTCTTCCCCCAACTACATCTGACTTGTTGCCCTTGAATCTCCGCATTGTTCATCTGGACGATGGCTCGAGCGGCCGCCTCTTTTTGCTCGAATTTCACGAACGCGTAGCCTTGAACTTTGAACATTCGAACCTCGTTGATTGGTCCGAAGCGGTCGAACGCGCGGCGGATTTCGTCTTCTGGAAAATGGGAAAATTAGTGTAGTTTTGACCAATTTGAGCCTGTTTTCAGTGCTTTTTGGGCCACTCACAGCTGACCCGGCCGACCGACCGCCGACCAAACTGACCGACCGACCGTAGACCAGACTGACTGATCGCCGACCTATCTGGCCGACTGAGCTAACCTAACGCCAACCAAGCCGACCGAACGTCAATCAATCTCGGTCGGACTGATCCGCGGTCGGGCAGCTTGATTGGTGGCCGATCGGCGGTCGGCCAGATTGGTCGGCGGTCGGTAGGATTGATTCTGAACGCTTACCAGTGAGCTGATTGATCTGTCCAACGTAGACCGAGGTGTTATCCGCTGACGTCTGATTATAGATCTCATCGAACGTCTTCTCATAGTGTCTGCGCTCTCCTCGTTCCCCACGATCTCTTCTCTCTCCACCTCCTTCCTCCTCCGGCTTCCGAGTCGCCCAATTTGTCCGGATGGTCCGTCTACCCAACCATTGTCCATTCATCTGCTCGATGGCTCTCTCGGCATCCTCTCTTCTCGGATACGAAACGAATCCATAGCCTTTTGCCTTGTTTGTGGCCGTATCTCTGATAATTTTAGCTTCGGAGACGTCTCCAAAGGCTAGGAATGCCTCACGAAGCTTCGTAGAGTCCACTTCTGATGAGAGATCGCCGACGAAGACGTGGAAGTGACGAGAGGTCTCTTGCTTTCGGGAGTCGCCTGGTTGGCTGGCGTCCACTGCCCAATTCACACGCATCTCCTGGAACAAAATGACCATTTACAGAGATTTATGGACCAGTTTAAGTCAATTTAGGTCAATTTTTAGTGATTTTTAGACTAATTCTAGGCTAAAATAGGCCAATTTTTAGGAATTTACTACTTAGAAAACACAGAAATTAGTCTAAATTAGTCCAGAAATCAATGAAAATTGGTGGTTTTTGAACCAATTTTTGCACATTTCAAGCCAATTTTCAGAGTTTTTGGACCAATTTGTGCCGTTTTTTTTAGCAAATTTTCGACCGATTTTCGACCAAAATAGGCCAATTTTTGATGATTTCTGGAGCAATTTGAAGCAATTTGAAGCAATTTTAGACCAATTTTTAGTGATTTTTTTGACCAATTGCAGGCTAAAATAGTCTGTTTTCCGGTTACTTTTGGACCATTTTTTACCAATTTAAGGCTAAAATATGCCGATTTATAGTGATTTTTGGCTCCTGAAATTGATCCAAAAATGATGAAAATCGTCTATAAACGCTTTTTTAAGCAATTTTAGGCTAAAGTAGGTCAATTTTTAGTGATTTTTGGATCAATTTTAGCCAATTTAGTCACATTTTTAGAGGTTTTGGGACAATTTAAGCTAATCTAGACTGGTTTTTATGGATTTTAAACCAATTTTAGACTAGAATATGCTAATTTTCAGTGATTTTTTGACCATTTTAGCTAATTTAGGTCAATTTTCAGTGATTTTTGAACTAATTTTAAGCTAAAGGGTCAATTTTGGACCAAATTATGCTAATTTTCAATGCATTTTGACCAATTTTTTTGTAATTTTCGGGTTGAGCGATTTTAAGGCTAAATGAGGCCCGCTACTAGTCATTTGTAAGCCAAATTTTCACTTTTTTGAGCGCTTTTCATCCAATTTTTACGATTTTTTTCCAAAATTCAACATTCCCGCTTACCCTATCCAAAAGACTGCGACCGTTCATTGCCTGAAGCGCCTGTCCAGCCTGGTTATGATCGCCGAATTCGATGAAGGCGAACGGATCGTTCATGCCCTGGAAATTCAAAAATTTAGGAAAAATTTGAATTTTTCGAGAATTTTCGCCTACATCGAAGCACACTTTGGCCTTGGTCACAGCTCCAATCTGGTTGAAGAGTGTCGCCAGAAACTCGTCGGTGATCGCCGGGTCCAGATTTCCCACAAAGCTAAAATTTAAAAATTTTCGAAAAAAAAATTATTTTTTGAATTTTTAAAAGAAAAAAATGCTCACAGCGTTCTCGGATCCTCGGAGCCCGACGCGAGATAGTAGCCTTCCCGTTCGGCGAACCGCGCATGGACCCGAGGGTTGTAGCCCGAACTATCGTCGTTTTGATAGAAATTCGACATTTTTTGGCTGAAAAACTGACTACAAAAAATGAGCGAAAACGAGCGATTTTAAGCGAAAAACAAATTTGAAAATTCGAAACAATTGGATTTTTTGAGTTTTTTTCACACAAATTTTTCACTGAAATCGATCAAAATATGTTTTAAGCCATGAAATTTGCGTTTTTTCAGCATTTTTCACATATTTTCGCAATATTTCCAGCAAATTCTGGCCTAATTACTCATTTTAAACTTCGAAAATCGTTCAAAAACCGCAAAAAATTCCAATTTCTCAATGGAGCGCACTTGCACACCACCTGTCACATTGCATTGATTTCGCGATGCGTCATGCATAAAAATGGCGATTTCAATCGGTTTTTCTCGATTTTTCTGGTTTTTTCATGGTTTTAGGGAGAAAATAGCTAATTTTTCACCTAAAAATCGTCTATTTCGAGTGATTTTTCATCGAAAATGACCCGAAAATCGATTTTTCGAAAATAACAAAAAAAATTATGAAATTTCGCTGACTCACCCTAATTTTTCAGCCATGGACTTTCTCTTCGGTCGCCGCAAGACACCCGCCGAGCTTCTCCGTCAGAATCAACGGGCGCTGAATAAGGTTTTTTTGAATTTCCCGCCAAAATTTTCAAAAAAATCCAAATTTTCAGGCAATTCGAGAACTGGACCGCGAGAGAGCCCGTATGGAAGCGCAGGAGAAGAAGATTATTGCTGATATCAAGAATATGGCCAAGAAAAATCAGATGGTACCTGGATTTTTGGATTTTCGGGCGGGAATTTGAATTTTTTGAATTTTGCAGGATTCTGTAAAAGTGATGGCTAAGGACCTGGTTCGAACTCGACGATATGTCAAGAAATTCATAATGATGAAGGCGAATATTCAGGTGAATCTCGAAATGTTTCGAAAAATATGCTAAACCTGACGATAAAGTGCACGAATTTCTGAAAATTTGGGTTATACACCAAAATTGACGACAAAGTGCACGAATTTCTGAAATTTCGGGTTATACATCAAAATTGACGACAAAATGCACAGAATTTCGAAATTTTTGACAAATACACCATATTTGACGACAAAATGCACGGAAATCGAAATTTTCAAAAAACATCAAAAATGACGACTAAATGCACACAAAATCAGAAATTTCGAAAAATACGCTAAATTTGACGACAAAGTGCACAAAATTCGAAAAGAAACATCAGAATTGACGACAGAATGCGCAGAAATTGAAATTTTCGATAAATACACCATATTTGACGATAAAATGCACAAAATTTTCAAAAAAAAACGAAATTGACGACAAAATGCAAAGAAATGGAGGTTTTCGAAAAATATGCTAATGTACAATCTGTCGAAATTTCGGCTGAAAAACGCAATTTTACCTCTTAAAAATGCAAAAAATTAGCGTTAAAGTCGATTCAGGGCTTCCAGACAGTTTCTAAACTCCAAAGTCCAATTTTAGTATAAAAAACACTAATTTTCATGATTTTGAGCGTTTTTCACAATGAAATTTGGGATTTTCAGCCAATTTTACCCCAAAAATCTACTTTTCTGAGCTTTTGAACTGAAATTTCCGAAAAATGCATCAAAATCGACGACAAAGTGCACAGAAATTGAAAAATTCAAATAATTTGACGGCAAAATGCACAGAAATTCACAATTTTTTGAAAAATACATCGAAATTGACGACAAAGTGCACAACTTTCTAAAATTTTGGGTTATACATCAAAATTGACGAAAGAATGCACCGAATTTCGAATTTTTGAGTGAAACATCATATTTGACGACAAAATGCACAGAAATTGAAATTTTTAATAAAACACCAAAATTGACGACAAAATGCACAGAAATGATTTGCAGGCGGTCTCTCTGAAAGTGCAGACTCTAAAGTCTCAAGATGCGATGGCCTCAGCGATGAAAGGAGTCACAAAGGCGATGCAATCGATGAATCGTCAACTAAACCTGCCGCAAATTCAAAAAATCATGATGGAATTCGAAAAACAGAGTGAGATCATGGATATGAAAGAGGAGGTGATGGGTGATGCGATTGACGATGCACTTGGAGACGCAGGCGATGAGGAAGAGAGTGATCAGATCGTCAATCAGGTGAGAATTCTGAGTTTGGCGGGCAAAGAGGACACCAAAACACCAAACTTTACGACAAATTTCAAAAACTACCGTACCTCTCTTTTTCCGGATTATTGTATAGAATATGAACCGTAGAAGATGGACTCCTGGAAAAAATAATTTTTGAGGATTACTGTAGCTACAGTACTCTCACTTCTCTCTTTTGTAGTCCTTATCACTTGGCGTCTTGGAAATTCCTCGGGTATACTGTAGTTCAGGCGTCCCCTCTGACCTGAAATATTTTTTACTGGATTACTGTAGTTTTGGCCTACTTTTGGAAATTTCCAGATTTTTCAGTAATTTCAGATCGATAAGAGGATCTTGCCGATGGATTGGATTTGTTTGCATGAGCTCTAATAATTTTTGGGTTACTGTAGAAAAATTCCAGGGTTACTGTACCTCTCATTTTCCGGGCTAATGTATGGGATATGGACGTTTTTAGGGCCTACTGTAGGATTACTGTACCGCTCTGTTTTGTCACTTAGAGTTTTGGAAACTCCTCGGGTATACGGTAGATCCTTGACATTTCGGTTCTCTGGGAATCTACCGTAATCCAGCTCCTCTGGACTTTGACGTTTTTCAATGGGTCTGAAAAATGTAGGTTACTGTAGAACTACAAGACTAGTTTTGAATTTGCGCGTCAAGTATAGGGCATTTGCACCGATTTTCGATATTTTGGTTAAAACATCAGAATTGACAACAAAATGCACATTTTCCAACTTTTTTTGTAAAACTTCAGAATTTACGACAAAATGCACAGCTTTTCGAATTTTTGGGTAAAACCGCTCAAAAACTATTGTAGCTCGGATTTAGGCTACTGTAGTTCATCTTGGATTACTGTAGCTCACCTATTTTGTTGTCCATGGGCTACCGTAACCGGAATCCTGACTTCTGATGGACTTCTGAAACCAAAATTTGAGATAAATTCAGTAAATTCTCAATAGAGCGCATTTGCATACCTTTCCGACTTTTGAGATGAAGCGTGAGATGAAATGAAACTTGGCGATCGCTCGGATTGTCTGAAATTGTCTTTTTTCCAAAAATTTGAGGATTACTGTAGCTACCTCTTCACTTTGTACTCTTGAACACTGGGTGTCTTGGAAAGTTTTCTGAAATTTCTGAATTTTTGGAAATCTACAGTATCCCTACAGTAACCTGGTGAATTGAAGTTCTGGGGTTTCCTGGCGACGAGGGTGGGATGGGACCGCAGATGGAACTCGTCGGGTGTAGTCGCTGAAAATTGAGAGCTACAGTAATCCAGAAGAGAGATACAGTATCCTGTGGTCGAGCTACAGTAGCTCCTGCTTTGGGTTTGGCGCTTTTAGAGCTTTTAGACGATTTTTTAGCTAAAAAACACGATTTTGATCTCCCCAACCCTGATTCTAGGCTGCAAAACCCATAAACCCCCCATTTTTCACTCTAAAATTCAAGGTTTCCAGATAATTTCACCCTAAAAATCAATATTTCCAGGTTCTCGACGAGTTGGGCATACAAATGGGCGAAGAAATGGCCGGGCTTCCGTCGGCGGCCGGTGGACTCAACGCTGGTGGTGAAAAGGTACGTTTTAGAGCCTGAAAAGCCATTTTTCACTCTCTAAAACCTCAAACAATCGCTTAATTACCCTTAATTACCCCTAATTATCCTGGTTACAGGTTAGTGGGCGTCAAGCGGTCGCTGCTGGCGGCGGTGGCGGTCATTCCGCTGGTGGAAACGAGGTCGACGACGATCTCCAAGCTCGTTTGGACCAATTGAGACGGGAGTAATTATCTCGGAGATAATTGCCTAATTAAGATTTCTAACTCGAAAATTCCCCATTTTTATCGCTTTTTTCCGCTCCTAATTATCCCAAAATTGGTCCTTTTTTGTGTAAATTCTGTGTATTTTTTTCTCTTTTCCCCCTCTCATTTTTCTATACTCTCTCGCCATATACTTTTTCTATGTGAATGCTATATAAAATGACACGTGGCAAGCAATTATTTTCAATTGATGTGCATTTTGTCTTCAGACGTGGTGCATTACACGAGAATTCGAAAATCGGTGCATTTTGTCGTCGATTCTAGCGTTTCACCCGAAAATTCGATAAATCTGTGCGTTTAGTCGTCGATTCTGGCGTATCACCCGCAAATTCGAAAAATCTGTGCATTTTGTCGTCAATTCTGGTGTTTTAGTTCAAAATTCTAATTTCTGTGCATTTTGTCGTCAAATATGGCGTATAACACAAAAGTGGCAAGCAAATGGTTTATTTTGAGGGCCCTGAAGCTATTTTTTAAAGCAAAAATTATCAAAAATCAGAAAAAAAATTCCAGAAAATTCCAGAATTTTCAGACGAATTTCAGACAGTCGTCGTGGTTGGAAAGAAGCGGCGAATCGTCTCGTCTCTCTCGTATCTCTCCTTTATGTGCACTATTTCTTCGTAGGGAGCGCTATGGGTGGTCTGGAAAACAAAAAGTTAGATCTGCAGGGTTTTGGGTTACTGTACCTTGTCGGAAGCGCTCGGAGGATTACGTGGTTTCGATGGGGATTGGGTTCTGAGAGATTTTTGGGGATTACTGTAGTTTTGGATACTGTACTTACCGTCCTGATGGGACGCGTTTCGGAGAATGTCCGCTTCGATTTTGAGCTTTTTGGTAGGCTCTGAAATTGTAAATTTGGGTTACTGTAGTTTAAATTTCTGTGCATTTCGCCAAAAATGTGCATTTTGTCTTCAATTCTGACGTATTACTCGGACATTTAAATTTCTGTGCGATTTGTCGTGAAATATGATGCATTTTTTCAGAAATGTGCATTTCGTCGTCATTTGTGGTGTATTAGTTCAAAAATTCAGTTTCTGCCGTAGGATTCGGTGCAAAATTCGAGAATTTGTGCATTTTTTCGTAAAATCTGGTGTTTTGGCATTCGGTACCAAAACACCAAATTTCACGACAAATTTCAAAAACTAACGTACCTCTCTTTTTCCGGATTATTGTATGGAATATGAACCGTAGAAGATGGACTCCTGGAAAAATTAATTTTTGAGGATTACTGTAGCTACAGTACTCTCACTTCTCTCTTTTGTAGTCCTTATCACTTGGCGTCTTGGAAATTCCTCGGGTATACTGTAGTTCAGGCGTCCCCTCTGACCTGAAATATTTTTTACTGGATTACTGTAGTCTTGGGTTACTGTACCTTTGGAAATTTCCAGATTTTTCAGTAATTTCAGATCGATAAGAGGATCTTGCCGATGGATTGGATTTGGTTGCATGAGCTCTAGAAAAACATCTGTTGGGTTACTGTAGAAAAATTCCTAGGTTACTGTACCTCTCCTTCTCCGTGCTATTGTATGGAATGTGGACGTTTTTAGGGTCTACTGTAGGATTACTGTACCGCTCTGTTTTGTCACTTGGAGTTTTGGAAACTCCTCGGGTATACGGTAGATCCTTGACATTTCGGTTCTCTGGGAATCTACCGTAATCCAGCTCCTCTGGACTTTGACGTTTTTCAATGGGTCTGAAAAATGTAGGTTACTGTAGAACTACAAGACTAGTTTTGAATTTGCGCGTCAAATATAACGCATTTGAACCGAATTTCGAATTTATGGCTACAACTTCAGAACTTACGACAAAATGCACAGATTTTCGAATTTTTGGGTAAAACCGCTCAATAACTATTGTAGCTCGGATTTAGGCTACTGTAGTCCATCCTGGATTACTGTAGCTCACCTATTTTGTTGTCCATGGGCTACCGTAACCGGAATCCTGACTTCTGATGGACTTCTGAAACCAAAACTTGAGATATTTTCAAAAATTCTCAATAGAGCGCATTTGCATACCTTTCCGACTTTTGGGATGGAGCGTGAGATGAAATGAAACTTGGCGATCGCTCGGATTGTCTGAAATTGTCTTTTTTCCAAAAATTTGAGGATTACTGTAGCTACCTCTTCACTTTGTACTCTTGAACACTGGGTGTCTTGGAAAGTTTTCTGAAATTTCTAAATTTTTGGAAATCTACAGTATCCCTACAGTAACCTGGTGAACTGAAGTTCTGGAGTTTCCTGGCGACGAGGGTGGGATGGCACCACGGATGGAACTCGTCGGGGGTAGTCGCTGGAAATTGAGAGCTACAGTAATCCATACTCAACTACAGTAAGCTATGCTCACCTACAGTAACCTACAGTGACCTATTAACTAGATACAGTAACTCATATCTAACTACAGTACTGAACAGACTGCCTACCACTTCCCACTGGATCTGTTTGAGTACAGTAACAGTACAGTACCCCTTATCAATGGATCTACAGTAATCTACAGTATCCCACACTAAACTACAGTAACCCATAGTAAACTACAAAAATCTCTAATCATGCTTCAGTAATCCATATCTAGCTACAGTATGGCCGAGAACTACAGTATCCCCTACAATACCTCTTATCAATGGATCCACGTGTCTCCGGAATTCGGGTTACTGTAGAATTTGTCATTTTTGGGAAAATCTCATCCATATTTATTGATACAGTATCCCCGGAATTTACTGGAATCGATCGCTCGGTGATGGTTTTGGAGGCGGAGCTGGAAATTGCATAGGTACAGTAACCCAGAATTTTTTCGAATTTGCGCGTCAAATAAGATGTTTTGTCCTAACTTTGGGTTTCGAGGTCATCACTTAATTTCTAGGTCAAGACCTTTTTTGAATGATATTTCAAAATTGCGCGTCAAATATGACGCATCCGCATTTTTGTGCAAGATGCCAGAATTGACGACAAAATGCACAGCTTTTCGAATTTTCACATAATACACCGAGTTTGTCGACGAAATTCACAGAAACCGGAATTTTCGGGTAATGCATCATATTTGACGACAAAAATGCACAAAAATCGAAATGACGTCATATTCGACGACAAAATTCACAGATTTTTGAATAAATGGGTAGTACATCAGAATTGACGACAAAATGCACAAAATTGAAACTAATACGCCAGAGTTGACGAAAAAATGCACCGTTTTTTGAGAAGTACGCCAGAACTGACGACAAAATGCACAGAAAACGAAATTTTGATAGAAACACCACATTTGACAGCAAATTGCACAGAAGTCGGAATTTTTGGACAAACGCATCATATTTGACGACAAAATGCACAAAAACTGAAAATTTTGGAAAAATACGCCAGAAATGACGACGAAATGCACAGATTTTTGAATAAATGGGTAGTACATCAGAATTGACGACAAAATGCACAAAATTGAAACTAATACGCCAGAGTTGACGACAAAATGCACCGTTTTTTGAGAAGTACGCCAGAACTGACGACAAAATGCACAGAAAACGAAATTTTGATAGAAACACCACATTTGACAGCAAATTGCACAGAAGTCGGAATTTGTGGACAAACGCATCATATTTGACGACAAAATGCACAAAAACTGAAAATTTTGGAAAAATACGCCAGAAATGACGACGAAATGCACAGATTTTTGAATTATTGGGTAGTACACCATATTTGACGAGCAAATGCACAATTTTTGCAACTCACCGCCTAGTGGAATGCTCCGAGATTCTCGATTGTCGTGCCGATTGGCTCCTATTTAAAGGCACAGTCAGAATTTCGTGTTCCTTTCTCAAAATCGAAGTACTCGTCGGAATTCGTCGATAATTTTGGGACATTTCTTGAGGATTTTCAGTAGAAACTTCTGGATGAAATGATGGATTTGACGACGAATTCGCCGATAATATAGTTGCCGATCTCGATGGGCGGAGCTTATAACTGCAAGAAAAAAGAAAAAGAAATTAGAAAAAAAACATTTTTAGTCAACAAAAAAAAGGATATGACTCACATGTCTTCGTGTTTTTCAATTTCAATTTCGTCCAATTTGTATGTTGCCTCGACTGGTGGATGAGGAGGTGTGAAGTAGACCTGGAAGAGGAAATTGGTGGCCTAGAATCCGACAAGTTGAAAAATTGGGTCATTAAAATTTCAGCCAAAACTACAGTAATCCAAACAAACATAGAGGTACAGTAATCCTACAGTATTCCCTCAAGGCGTCTCCAATCTGTAACCATTGAAAAACGTCAAAATCCCGAGGAGCAGGATTACGGTAGATTCCCAGAGAACCGGAGGATCTACCGTATACCCGAGGAGTTTCCAGAACTTCAAATGACAAAACAAAGCGGTACAGTAATCCTACAGTAGCCCCTAAAAACGTCCATATTCCATACAATAGCCCGGAAAAGGAGAGGTACAGTAACCCAAAAAAAAATTTTCAGAGCTCATGCAACCAAATCCGATCAATCAGCTAGATCCTCTTATAGATCGGAAATTACTGCGAAATCTGGAAATTTCCAAAAGTAGGTCAAATCTACAGTAACCCAAAAAATTCTTCAGGTCAGAGGGAACGCCTGAACTACAGTACCCCCGAGGAATTTCCAAGATCCCAAGCGATAAGGACTACAAAAAAGAAAAGTGAGAACTACTGTAGCTACAGTATTCCTCAAAAAAATTTTTCCAGGAGCCTATCTTCTACTGTTCATGTTCCATACAGTAATCCGGAAAAGGAGAGGTACGGTAGTTTTTGAAATTTGTCGTAAGATTTGGTGTTTTGGTACCAAGTGCCAAAACACCAGATTTTACGAAAAAAAAGCACAGAAATCGAATTTTCGAAATAGTACATCAAACTTGACGACAAAATGCACAGATTTTCGAATTTTTGAATAATAGGTTAGAATGGTTAACTTTAGTTGAGCTAAAGGTTACTGTAGGAAGCTTTAGAATACTGTAGATTACTGTAAGTTATGGCAGATGTTTCTTCTTTTTACGGGACTACTGTAGATTACTGTAGATTATTGTAAAATACACAGATTTTCGATTTTTTGGGTAATACGCCAGAAATGACGACAAAATGCACAACTATTTGAATTTTAGATCAATACATCAAATTTGACGACAAAATGCACCAGAACTCACATTAATTTTCAGTTTATCACAATTCTTTCGATCCCTCAACTCTTCACTTCCCGGCGTATACGGTCTTCCGGTTGTGGAATCCACGTAGACGTCGTGAGAATACACGTAGCGTTTGCCGACGTCTTCTGGAAGATTCTGATGACGTCTGACGTCTTCTGGCCGATTCTGAATTTCAGAAGACGTCTTTTGGAACGATTCTGAAGACTCTGACGACGATGAGTCGATGTGACGAAGATTGTTATTGACGTGGCATTCTGAATCCTTGAATTCAGAACTTCTGGATTCAGAAGACGTTGTTATCAGATTTCTATTCTCCTTATCCTTCTGCATCCTAACGTATTCTTCATACATCGGCAAGGGCTTCTGGAATTCAGAAGTCGTCAGAGGGATTCCGTAACGTGGCGTATTCTTCTCGGGAGTCGGTGGAATTACGTGAAGAATTGGGGCTTTTGGAACGTCTTCTTGCCGGATAAGGACATCTGGACTCACAGAGCGACGTGTGAATTTCTGAAAATTTTGGTTTTCTAGGCCATTTTTCATATTTTTCAAGGCCACCTCGTTGACTTCGTGATAGTCGTAAACCTCGGTCATGATATCCGTAAACTGTGCAGATGGGACACGAACAATTGGGAAGTTTTCGGTGGTCCATGTGTTCCCGCGGCTGAAAATTATGATTGTAAATTCTTATCACCCCCTTAACTTCATGACGCGGCTACGCGCCGCGCGCCGCACCCTTCTCTACGCCCTTCGCCCCTTTTCCTAATGCAGCACGAGTGGCGCAGGCGGCAAGGCGCATGTCCCGTAGGCGTGCGCGCGCAAGTTCAACGCCCCTCCCCGCCGTTTCCTTTTTTTCTTTTTTAACTCTCACCTCCTTATCAATGGGGGTGTATAGGTTCGCTCTGGATCCATCCTTGGAGCTCTTGGCTCCTCGCGAAGGATTTGAATCACTTCTGGAGGGTATTCAGATGCAGGAGCAATGGGACGGTGAGTGATTTCTTTGGTGTAGACTTCGGAAATCGCATGGTACGGTTGGTGGAGGTGGGCGGATGAGGAGCGGGAGCCTGGAAGTTTTCAATGTGTGTCTGTGTGTCCCGATTTCTTCACTTACGCCTATCCATTGGGGGATGACCGTAGGATCTTCGAGAATTCATTGGAATTTCTGAAATTTAACAATTTTAGGAGACTAACAGAATCACAGGAATTTCAGAATTCAGAATTTTCAGAATTTCAAAATTTCAGAATTTTAGAATTCAGAATTCAGAATTCCAGAATTTCAGAATTTCAGAGATTCAGAATTTCAGAATTTTATAATTCCAGAATTTCAGAATTCCAGAATTTCAGAGGTTCAGAATTCCGGAATTCCAGAATTCCAGAATTCCAGAATTCAGGAATTTTCAGAACAAAAAAGACCGAAAAAAAAGAGAAAAAGTCTTCAAACATTTTTTGAAAAATAAGAAAAGGGGGAAATACGAAAGGACAGATGACATACAAAGACATAGTAAGAAAAAGGGGAAAAGAAGGATCAAGTTTCGAATTTCATAAAAATTCTTATTCTCTCATGGAATTTTTTTTCTTGGAAATTATTTGTCTTGGGGGGTCTTGAGAAACAAAAAAGTGTACTAAATTTCACTGAATTTCTTGGAATTTTGGATATTTAAAGGTTTCCTGGTCACTAGAAATCACTTGGAAACTCTCCAAGTTGATAACAATGTCTATGAAAAGTCGAAAAAAGTATTCAAAAGGAAAGATCCAGCAGGAGGAATTGAACTCGCAGCCCACCCGCGCCCGATGGACTGGTGGGCACGTGCCTTACCGCCTGCGCCAAGACACCCCAAGTAGTGTTGAGGGCGGCAAGGCCTATAGGAGGGTGCGCATTTTGAAAGGCGACTAGGGGGGGGGGGGTAGGGCGTCGGGGGAGAAATCCAGAAAAGTTAAAAATTTACAGAAGTTTCAAAATTTTATATAAGTACAAATGTAGTTTTAAATGAACACTAATAGCAAATAAGAGGAAAAAGAAGAAGAAGAAGAAGAAATAGGAGAAAAGGGAAGAAAATAAATGGAAACATCCGGGGGGAAAAAGAAGAGATTTGGAAGCTCTCCGGAGTTAAGAAGATCTACTTTTAATTCCCAAAATCTGTAAAGAAGCACACTTCTTATATTGGGGAATTTTTTAATTTGAAAAATATTTTTTTGAATTATATTATTTTTTTTTTGGAAAAAGTCAAAAAATATTTCCATTTTTTTTCTTTAAAGATTGGATTTTTCGGA